AGTTCTGAAACAGTTCTTTCCTTGGAGAAAGGCTTTTTTTTTCAGAGACGGCATAGCAAAGAGACTTCGGAAGCAGCTGTCAATTTCAGATGCAGGCCCCTGGACTGGATAAAAAATTAAAGTGCCACGTGAAATAAAGTCCTGGTTATTCCATTGCCTGTATATGTCATTCTCAACAACACACACAGAGGAAAACCCAGGGAGAGGCTCTCACACTCATAATAAAGAAGAGGAAAGGTTTGGAGGGCTTTCTCTCCTCCCTAAAACCAGCCAATAAATGGGCAGCACTGGCTTCTGAGAAAACCAGCCATAAGGAAAGTTCCTAACAGCAACAACAACAACAAAAGATAAAGAAACCAAACAATGAACTGTTGGCATTTGAAACCACACTTTTTAAAGCTCTGGGCTTTCATCGCACCTGATCTGAAAAGACAGAAAGTTTCCAAAGTGCCACCGCCTCACCCAGTTACAGGACAATTTGATATGCGAGGGCAGACAGGAAACTTCATTTAGAGGCAAAGGTGATAAGGAGTTTAAACTGCTCTTGTAAAACGAGTTACAGGGTAATACAAAATAGCAAAGATTCTCCCATAATACAAGGTTATAAAATGCTTACTGGGAGTCAGAGAGAACAACTGTTCATAAGGACGAGCCCGGCAGGTGGCGGGCCAGGCGCTGCGGGAGCGCGAGCGGCGCGGAGCTCGAAGCACGTGATTGAGAACTAGCTTTACTGGGTCTTAATTAAAGTGAGGCTGGATGCATTGTGAATATTTTAAAAACTCAGGGTAAGAAAGACTTCTTGCAGTTCCTAAATACTACTGCACAATAAGAGCAATGAAGGAGAAAGTCCATCTTCCTAATGAGTAACGCCGAGCTCTTTCCCCCTTTTCCGTTCACTGCCCTGTTCTCTGAAGACCCTCGCGGAGCTCAACTCCCAACAGCTCTCCCGTGTTGTAAGATCCTGCGCCCAGGGCCCCTCACCTCGCGCCATCGCATCGCCGTCAGAGAGAAGCGCCTTCCCTTCCCTCCTGGCACCGGGAGCTGTGGGACCTCCTGGGGCCGGGGTCCCCTGGCCTTCCGCACCCCTGCCCTCTGGGCTCCGCAGCACCCCGCTAGCGCAGGGCAGCTCAATGCTAGTGCAGGGCAGCTCACCGCTAGTGCAGGGCAGCTCAATGCTAGCGCAGGGCAGCTCACCGCTAGCGCAGGGCAGCTCACCACTAGCGCAGGGCAGCTCACCACTAGCGCAGGGCAGCTCACCAATAGTGCAGGGCAGCTCACCACTAGTGCAGGGCAGCTCACCACTAGTGCAGGGCAGCTCACCACTAGCGCAGGGCAGCTCACCACTAGTGCAGGGCAGCTCACCACTAGTGCAGGGCAGCTCACCAATAGTGCAGGGCAGCTCACCACTAGTGCAGGGCAGCTCACCACTAGTGCAGGGCAGCTCACCACTAGTGCAGGGCAGCTCACCAATAGTGCAGGGCAGCTCACCACTAGTGCAGGGCAGCTCACCGCTAGCGCAGGGCAGCTCACCAATAGTGCAGGGCAGCTCACCACTAGTGCAGGGCAGCTCACCACTAGTGCAGGGCAGCTCAATGCTAGCGCAGGGCAGCTCACCACTAGTGCAGGGCAGCTCACCAATAGTGCAGGGCAGCTCACCACTAGTGCAGGGCAGCTCACCACTAGTGCAGGGCAGCTCAATGCTAGTGCAGGGCAGCTCACCGCTAGTGCAGGGCAGCTCACTGCTAGCGCAGGGCAGCTCACCGCTAGCGCAGGGCAGCTCACCACTAGTGCAGGGCAGCTCACCACTAGTGCAGGGCAGCTCACCGCTAGTGCAGGGCAGCTCACCACTAGTGCAGGGCAGCTCACCAATAGTGCAGGGCAGCTCACCACTAGTGCAGGGCAGCTCAATGCTAGTGCAGGGCAGCTCACCGCTAGCGCAGGGCAGCTCAATGCTAGTGCAGGGCAGCTCACCGCTAGTGCAGGGCAGCTCAATGCTAGCGCAGGGCAGCTCACCGCTAGCGCAGGGCAGCTCACCACTAGTGCAGGGCAGCTCACCACTAGTGCAGGGCAGCTCACCACTAGTGCAGGGCAGCTCACCACTAGTGCAGGGCAGCTCAATGCTAGTGCAGGGCAGCTCACCGCTAGTGCAGGGCAGCTCACCAATAGTGCAGGGCAGCTCACCACTAGTGCAGGGCAGCTCACCACTAGTGCAGGGCAGCTCAATGCTAGTGCAGGGCAGCTCACCACTAGTGCAGGGCAGCTCACCAATAGTGCAGGGCAGCTCACCAACAGTGCAGGGCAGCTCAACAGCAGATGCTTCATGAACGAGCAAGGGGCAAGGTGTCTGGGGAAGAAACGGCCACTGTCCCTCCAGAGCCAGCGGAGGCCCTCGCAAGGTGGGTTAGCTAACTGCACGCTTCACTTCAACTTTTACCTTTTCCTCTTCGTAGGGTCCACCCCCCCTCCAGCCCCCTTGTGCTCTCTCATTAGGCAGAGAATGTGTCTTTTTCATGTTTGTATCTAGGGCACAGCACTGGGCCAGGCCCAGACGCAGCGGCTTCAAGATGGATTGGGCAACAGATGAAGGAATGATCCTAGCTACCTAACTTGCCTGGGGGAAGAATACTAGTAATTCCAGGAGCACTTAATGAGACCAAAATTTTAATATAAACCTCTCTGAGCTCACACTGTATCAGAAGCTGGCATCGAGACTTTCAGACACGATCGCTGCCCAGCCAAGACGTTATGGGTATGTGGCCACAGAGAAGCGGGGCAGCACGGGGCTGGCTGTGGGAGCAGGGTCCCGGGGGAACAGATCCTGCCTCTGCCACGACACTAACCGTAACTTTGGACCTGCTGATGAATGCTCCTTGGCTTCATTTCCTTCATACATGAAATGAGAACACTGGACTGAAGCAGTACTTTTCAAAAAAATTTTAAGTACAGATACCTTTAAAAAGAGAAATATTAAGTAGAACACCAAATGTATAGTTTACAAAGATAACAGGGGGGCTGCTTTTGTCAGTTGAAAGAGGAATGAGGCTTGTGGGAGGTGGAACTGAGTCCCTGTTACCTTCTCCCTTCCCCTCACTCACTCCGCTTATGGAGGCCCCAGCTGTCTGTCCTCTAGGGCTCCACGGAACCCAGTTAGAAAACCAATGAACGAAAAACCCCTGAGGTCCCTCCAGTTATAACATCCCATGATTCTGTAATTCGATTTCTTCTGAGGTTCTAAAATCAGCATCAAGATACTTCCCCTGCAGGTATACATTTTCCTACAAATTCTGTAGCAGCATCTTTGTAGCTAGGCTGGAATTCAAACCCAAATCTATCTGACTCTGGGATCTGGGACCTGAACACGATGCTCTGTTGACTGGTCAAGACAGCAATAGAAGAATCCAGTTCTTGGGTAAACTCCCACTATCCACACATGGATAGGGCCCAAGATCAAGCTTTCGTGCACCAAATTGCCACTACACATAAATTATAAATAAAGTCTACAATAACAAAGTCAGTATCTCAAAAATCTAGATTTACAATACAGATCCTCAGAAGTGTATTTATTTGCTTTTATAGACAAATTTATAAAAGAATCCTTAAAATGTTCTCTCCTCTAGTGTGAATATGCTTATAACTATTTCATTTTTATTAATTTTCTCTCGAATAGATATTCTAGCATAGGACAGAATATGCCTTTGCTGTTTCAGCAAGATTCTAAGTACATCATTTATGAAACTTTCTTAGGAAACCCACTTCTATTAAAGAGAGATTAAGCCAAAAATGATCCCTTTGGATCTAAGACCGCGAATTCTTATTAATCTTAATGAGTTTTCCTTGAAATGATACACTGTCTTTAAGTGAATCTCGTGATATCTATATGTACGTATGGACACATAAGCCATCACATATACTTGTAAATATTACACTCTCAATTTAAACTTTGAATCCCTAATTTAAAACAATACCATACGACCTTATAATTAGTGGAAACAATTCAGGAGGTATTGATATTTTCTGTTCTTTCTAGCATATTACGTGTGAGATGCAGTCAATTGCTAAACCACTTCTCCCAGTGCATATGAAAGAATAATATTCATCCCTATGCTAGGATTCTGTAAACAAGTTCATCACAGATTGACATGTAAGGTCGCACGGCAGAAAAATATTTATGGGTGTTTAATATGAGAGAATATCAAAAACAAAATTCACATGCAGTCCTAATTAAAAAAACATATTTGACCCAACTTCTTGACAACTTCATTAAAAATTTAGTAAAGATTCTTTCTTAATAATTTTTTAAAGATTAAATTCTTAACTGCAGCATTGATCAATGAAAATTAAACAAGAGTAGTATCTTCGGTCTACTTAGAGTTGGGTGTAATTAATCTGGAATAGTATCTCCCAAAGGACGTATCTTGAAACACTACATTTTACTGTGAAACAGAATCAGGAAACATTTCAAATCGTATTCCTCTCGTGGAGATCGGCAATATATATTGGCATTGTAGAAGCTTCTGGAAGTTCTACAGTTTAACATTTTTTAAGTTTGTTTAAATCTATCATTTCTCAAACGTATCTATCAATATCCCGGTGTAACTAATATCATAGGAAATAGGAATGGAAAGCCTTGATCTACGATGATAGGCCAGAGAGAATTAAAATAAGTGGATGGTACCAAATAATTTCATTTATGTTGGACTTTGAAATGTATGTAATTTTATCAGATTTTCTTTTAGAATTCTACTTTTAAACGGATACACTGAAAAGGAAATGAACTGCCTACAGGCACAGCAACCAGATTAAAAGCAGAATAGCAGCATGCTGGGTTCAAAGGAGATGACATGGGATACTTGAGGTCTTATACAAAGCAGGCAAGACCCAGTGGAGAATGAGAGCTGTCGGTGCACATTTAATCCGTCTCTAGGATTGCCTCAGGCAGAAAGGAAGGCAGTAAGGGCGAGGACTTCATTTACTAAAAGGCTGACATTCAGTCTACTTACGCCGCCCATTCAAGCTTCTCGTTCTTGATGGAGTTGTAGAGAGCCTGTAAAGACAGAAAACAAGATGGAATTACTTTAATTCCATTCCACATTTTGAGTTCAGACGGTGACAGAAGGGAAAGGCTTGAGGGGCTCAGCAAGCAGCCCCCAGGCCCGGCAAACGAGCACAGGGTGAGCAGCATTTTGTGAAACAGGTGAACACACACCGCTGTCCTGCAGTTCACCACATAGATGCCCCTATATTGACACCCCCTTTAGAACACGGTATGATTAAGATCGGGCCACATATTTTCTCCTTCTTACGGTCTTGTAGCTTCACTAGTTTAGATACTGGAGTAATTATACCTTTTCATTAATGGAATAAGTATAACTATTTTCACAACTTAAAGAGCACGATACATGGAAGGGGAGCCAGTTATAAAAAAACATCTTAGAATAATTTCAGAGTTTCTATACCAATGACTGAAGCAGCTTTTACTGGTCTAACGTTACGATCCTGCTTTACAGTTAGTGTGATACTGGTGTGTGTGAGGTGGGGGACAGGGGGACAGAGCCTTGGTGACAATAATGACAAAGGCTCCCCTCCACCGGTCCCATGAGGCTGCATTTAGAGAAGTGCGGAGAGAGAAATATCTGACTCAAGACTCTGGAGGCTCTCACTGGATAAATGCCTTCTGAATGGATTCTATTACTTGTATGAGCCATTTTGAACCCACAAGTGACAGTGGGCTGAGAAGCTACAATTGAAAAGAGACAGATCATTAAAAGTTTTTATAAACTATCATACTCAATACTACCCAGAGTACTTTAACAATGTGGTAAAGATTTTAAAAATCTCTTCATAAAGTAGTTGAGAATGATATCTTAAGTTCTGAAGTTTTTCTAATACATTCAATTCTGCTCCAGAACAAGTGTTGTTGTTTTTTTTCAATTTTTCTACCCGTGAGAATATTTTGCTTAAAGAGGTACTGAGTTCCAAATTAGAAAATTCTTGCTTCCTGATCAGTAATGGTAAACATACGGTAAAAAAACAAAACATACAGTATAACAAAAATTGGTTATAAAATATCTTGTAAAATTCAACAAACTTGGCATGTTTTAAGTCCAGTCCTCTCCTGTGTATACAACAGGACACACCTAAAAGGGGGATGTTATCCTTAACCTTTTCAACTGCGAAATTACACAGGGATTTTCATGAATCATTTTAGAGCTTTCTGATGATTCATTATTTTTCTTAAGAAAGCAAAATTTGTTTTGCAAATGCATCCAACACACTTATACCCTTGTCACAACTTCCTATCCCTTTATCTACTTAGCTAAGAACTGAATTCCCTGGATTTCTCTCTATCACAGGAATCACCTCCTGCCCCCTGCAGCCTAGAGCCCACGCTTGGTCACCTGAACCAGTGTTGTTAGTATCTTCTGTTCTATCTGTAACTCTCGACCAACCCCACTCTGACTTCTCCACATTTATATCCCATATATTAGTTAAGGTTTCTTTAGTTTCAAATACAAATACCTAAACTCTATCTTAAAGGTAAAGGGGACCTAATAGTTTATGTAGTCATAAACTATTAAATCATAAAAAGATATTAAGCTGGACTCAGGGACACAGAAATTTAAAACTCTCTCCCCTCTCCTCTCAACTCTTCTCTTTTCACCCCAAACATCTCCATTCCTTGTTTCTTTACTACACAAGAAATGTGTCTACAACAAGCAACACCCATTCACATCTTTGAGTCTCTCAACAACAGAAAACCAACAGTTCTTTCTCCAAGCTCCAGTTTGAAAAGATACCAACTGGTGTGATTCTCCAGAATCAAGGGCATTGGGGCATCTATAAAACAGATGGTAGCACCAGTGCAATCCTCCTGAACCTCACAGCCTTCCCTATTTGTATGTGACTAGTTCAGAGAAAATGAAACAATAGCACAAATTAATGCCCCTGCAGGGTCATCGCCTCAAACTTCAGCAGAACTTCATTCATGAGCCTCCTTTAACTTTTTCCCGTTTCCCCCGAAAGGCATCTGCACCGGCATCTACTCCCTTCTTCCTGATGTAAGGGAAGGGTGTCCCATCTCGGCAAGGCTGAGCCCCTAACACTGGTCCCGATGCCTTCCGTCTGTGGCAACATCCCCTTCACTGGCTCCACCCTAACAGGTTCCAAACGTGCATCTCTCCCAACCCCCTTCTGCGACTCAGTTACCACCTCTGTTCCTCAGCCTCTCTTTTTAAGCCAAGTTTCTGAGAGACGTTCCTGCAATTCTTATTTCCACTTAATCTCTTCAATGCAGGCAATCTGGCTTTTGTCCCCGATCCGCTATTAAAACTGAACACAGCAGAGTCACCAGCTCCCTTCAGTGCTAAGTTAAGGCCGCGTTTCAGTGTCCCTGCTCCTCTGCACCTTTTAGCAGCACCGACCCTCAAATATTTTCTTTCTTATTTCCCGTGACACGTACGCAGTCTCCTGAATGTTCTCCCCTCTCCTTGGATAACCCTTCTCATTACTCCTATCTCCCTCATCTTATCTCTTACGTATGAGTGAACTTACGGGCTTATCTCCAGCCCACGTGAGCTCCTGTGAACTTCAGCTCCACATGTCAGCTGCACCTGGATGTTCCCGAAGCATCACAAACTCATAAAGAGGAGCTAGGACACGAAGACCTAATAGAGAAAGTGTACTCTCAACCTTAGTAAACTGTATTGGTATAAAATATGTAATTTTTTGAGTACAGAAACATGACATATAAAGCACAAGGTAGTTAATGTCCGCGGTAATATAAAATACTCAAGTCAGGGTCCTAGTACAGTAGGCAGACAGACAGACATGAGCCGAGCAAGGTCGATGGGCCAGGGACAGACGGTCACCAGGGTGGAAAGCCCTGGGTGTCTAGCAACGGGTAAAACTGAGAAAACAAGGACCTTGCCCTAGGGTGACCTTTCCTCCCCAGCAGGGCCCCTAACCTTTCATGCAGTTTGTACCCTGATTAAGTTAATGATCTTGAGACAGGGAGAGTACCTGGGCTGAAGCGGTGTGTATATGAGAAGGTGGCAGAGGGAGACTTAAGACAGAGAAGGCGATGTGAAAAATTAGAGCAATGAGACACGAGCCAAGGGATGCCGGCAACCACTGGAAGCTGGAAGAGGCAGGGAACAGACTCCCTCCCAGAAACTTTGATTTCAGACCTTTGGCCTCCAAAATTGTAAATGAATAAATTTCTGTTGTTTTAAGACACCAAGTTTGTGGCAATTGTGTTACAGCAGCCCTAGGAGACGAATACACCAGCGTATAAATGGAGGACAGATGTCGGAATAAAGAATGACCATACCCACAGGTTGATTTTCAGAAATATTTCCAGAGTCGATCGTTGGGTAAAATGTAGCCTTTTACTATCATGGTCTCAACTGAAGGTCTGTGGGTACACACCAGAATCAGCCAAGAAATTTTTAAAACACTGATTACTGAGCTCCATCCCAGATTTACCGAATCATGTTCCCAGATGAAGAACCTACACACGAATATTTCCAAACGCCTGCATGAGGCTCTGATAGGAACCCTTGGTGAAAAGTCCCTGCTTTCCAAGTTTGCCAATATTTTCTCTAACTGAAGTTCCTGCCACTCAACCAGGGGCTAGACAACAGTCTGGTACCCCCACTGAGACTAAACAGGGCAGCTGAGTCTTCAAATGCGAAGGAGAGAGCAAAGTAAATGGCTTAAATTACAGAGATCAAAGTATCTGGGTCTAAATTTTCCTTTAAGTTTTTGTTCCTCACTTTTGATTGCTCCTCGAGAAGATAAAATGCTACTTTACTCATGGCTTAGCATTGTCACTGACAGCCCACGCCTGCTTCTCTGAAGTTTCCCCATTACCATGCATTGTGTAACCACGAGTCTCCTCTCTCTCCGAGCACATTTTGCAGTCTATGAAATTCATGCATTTTAGTTCAACCACCTCTAAACTCCAATGATTTCCCCACTCTGTGCTCCTTGAATTACTATGAAAAGTACAGAGGATGACATAGCTTCCAATTCCCCTCAGTGAGACTGACAGAGACCATGGTGAAATTTCACCCGGCAAGAAATGTGACACCATCAGCACCACGGCCATCGTTTTCAAGTGCAGTGCTGTTTCATGCAGATGAAGCACTTTTAAGTACAGAATTAAATATGCACCACTCTGGAAGTCTGATCAGAGACAGACTGTGTCTGAAAATGATATTGGTTAAAAATCAATGATAAAACTAGTTACACCAAATGAATTTCAAACTGGTCAGGAAAACTCAAAATACCCCAAAAACAACAGGCTTCAACTTGTCTTCCTCTCTATACCTTAATATCATATTGAAAAATGGCATTACCCGCTCATTAAAGAAGGCTCCCCTAAAACCAGTGTTTATAATGGACTCATTTGCCCCCTCTACTCCTGCAGGTTTTTTTGGTTTTTCTAAAATAAAATGTATCTTTATTGATTTCAGAGAGAGGAAGGGAGAGGGAGAAAGATAGAACATCAACGATGAGAGAGTCATTGATCGGCTGCCTCCTGCACGCCCCCTGCTGGGGATCGAGCCACAACCCGGGCATGTGCCCTGATGGGAATCGAACCGCGATCTCCTGGATCCTAGGTCAGTGCTCAACCGCTGAGCCACACCCATCTGGGCTACCCCTGCAGGTTTTTATACCTGTGCAGTATCAAAAAAGGTTATGGGTGAGAGTTATGTTTTGTTTTGTTTTTTTAAATTCCAGGAGGCAATTGTCAAGCAGAAGTAAAAAACGAAAAACAGCCTGAGCTTTGCCACAAGAGTGTTCATAGGCAGATCCGTTTTAGGGAGACGTACCCAATGGAGACGGGTCTCTAGAAACTGACTCCCTTTACACGACCTGTGTTCCAGTACCCAATGGACAGTTTTCATGTACCCAAGTTTAAAGGGGGTAAGTTAAATACATTCACAAGCCACCTCAGAGACATTCAACTCTTTAGCTCTCCCTCAGGGTGACAGAAGCATGCTCAGTGTCAAGTAACTTATCTTGAGTGTGTTGTTTTTT